TAATTTTTTGTTTTGAAAAACAAGTCTAATAAGTTTTGCCTCCTTGTGGGGTTTATGAGTCCTTAAATAGGTGCAAGACTCATCTTAAGGAGGAAAAATATAACCCCTCAACAAAAATGAAGACTACTAGAATGTAAAAATAACATTGTAAAAAATAACAAAATTAATTCAAACAAAATCTTTAAATACTATTTAAGATTCTTTTAATAATCAGCTAATTGCAATGAATTAAACCTCTTATAGATTTGGGAATCTTCTCAAGAAATTTGAGTCTGATTTAATAACTAATTAAAAAAATATGATTTTTTAATATTATTTTGTTAACTTGGCATAACCAACTCGAGTTTAGAGCTTGTTTGTTTTATAAAAAATAATTTTTTAAGAATCATGTTTTAAATTTTTTTATATTTATTTATTATTAAAAAAGTTGGTTAATAAAAAATATTTTCTAGTCAAACGAAAATTTGATTTAGTTTTTAAAAAAGTATTTTCACTTTATTTTAGATGGAAAATACTTTTCAAAAGTTATGAAAAATTCAGAAATATCTTGTTATTGATTATATCAAATTTGATCCTTAATCTTTTGAATATTATATATATATATATTTGAATCTTTTTCTCTCTGAATTTCATCCCTTTGAATTTGATTTTTATATCAAATTTGGTCTTTATTTTTTTAATTGTTATTTGTTTCTCTCTTATTCTTTTCTTAATTAAATTTTTTATCTCATAGATTTAATCCTTATTTTTTTATTGCTATTTTTTTTAAAATAATTTATAAAATTATATATTTTTTTAATTTCATCATTTTTAATTTTTTTATTGATCATATTTGATTTTTATTATTTTGATTATTAAAAACCAGCCAAACACAATAAAAGAATATTATTAGGAATTTTTAATTTTAATTAGACATAAATAGAATATGTTTACCAAATTTCCTCTTTTCTTACTGTTCTTTTGTAATGATATACTCTATTTCATTAAGGTTTAGGTACGTATTTTAATATTTATTTTCAATTGATCTTTTTTTAATGATATCATTTTATTGAAAAAAAATCTAAAACAATGTTGTTTCTATTTTTTAAAAAAAGCATGGCCTGAAATGACTTGCCTAACATAAATTTAAAGTTGTTAGTTTATTTTCATTCTAGCAGCAGCAACAACAACAACAAAATTTAGTGTTGAGAAGTTTTAGGATCTTATTGAGATGTTTCTACATTTGAAAAGGTAAATCAGGATTAAGAGAGAAAAACTTTTCTTGATTTGATGTTGTGTTTTGGATTCTTTTAGATTTTGTTTTGGTTGATTAATTGATTTTTATTTAGATTTTAAAAGTAATTATTAATTATTTTAAGATTAAAAATAAATTTTTAATTAAAAAACTTTTGCTCGATTTTCCAATCATCCTTTAATGTCAAAGTTTGGAAAACAGATGATATATCATTTGTTTTTATTTTTAAAAATAAAAAACAAAGATGAACAACATGTAATCTATTTTTTACTTGAATAAAAAAATGAAAAGTATATGTAATAAAAAATAATTTTAATTAAAAATATATTAAAATCACAAAAAATATTTTTAAAAATTAATTTATTATTTTTTAAATAAAAAATATTTTAAACCGTAAAAACAAACACATATAACGCTCTTGCTAGATGGCCATGAAACCATCTTTCCTGCCAAAATTCTGTTATATAAAGAGAAAGTTAGAATTAACCAGCACAACAGCCTATTCAGAGCACCCTGCCATTTATCTTTCGCCATGTGTCATCTTTTTCAAGCCTCAACATCATCCACTTGTCAACTTAACTAATTCTGTCATAACAGAAATAACCGCACTATTAAAGTCCAAATTTTGGTGCTCCTCTCTCACACGCACATCAATAACTCATTCGCTTTGTCTTTCTCCCCCTCCCAGTCTCTATCTCTCTCGCAGAATCAAGAAGCCACAAAGCCATTAATTCCTTCATCAATGGCTGACGAAGATAACACTCAAAGTGATCAAGAAATGCAGGATCCTTTATCAATAGCTGACGAAGATAACACTCATACTGGTCAAGAAATTCAGAATCTTGTTATGAAACTGGATGAGCACTACACAAACTTAGAACAAAAGAGGCAGGTTTTTGAGAATTCAATTGGATCAGAAATCGAAGTCCTCAACAAAGATCAAAATGAAGCCAGGAAACTAAGGCACAGTCTTCTTTATGGATCTGATGATATAAGCAGCAATCTTGAAGCTGCAAGCCAGAACATCGCTAATGTGAAGCAATGGCTGAATGAGAACGCACTGGACAGTGAGGACGAAGAAGATCAGGGGTAAAATAGAAATCATAGTTCCTCTTAAATCATACGGGTTATTTTAGTGACCATAAATCATATGTTTGATATCTTTTCAGTGCTTCCAGCAATAATTTCTCTGTGCTTATTGTTGATGATGATCGTACTATTCGAGAAACCAATCGGCGATTCATGGCGTTAGCCGGGACACAAAAGCAGCTAAGAATGGAATTTCAAGAGGCAAAGAATGGGAAAGAAGCTGTCTATCTTCATCTTGCTGGGGCTTCTTTTGATCTCATTCTTATGGACAATCAAATGCCCATCATGACTGGAATTCAGGTATATATTTTTTGACCAGCTTCAACTTATTAATTTTTTTCAAAACCCCATTTGTAGTTTTTTGATAAAATTGGAATAAAGAAAGATTCTTCTTTGTTTTCTTGATAACTCATAATATAAGACCCCCTAAGTTTTGGTCTGGCCTTGAAGCATAGAACTCAATGAAGTTTTGGTTTAGCCTTGAAGCATAAAACTTTAAATGGTTCTTCCTGTATAAAAACTACAACTGCTAATTAATGTCGTGATATACATTATATATGATATTTGCATCTGGTCCTGATATTATATATGGTATCAGGCAACACAGCTGTTACGCAAGATGGGTGTTAAGAGTCGGATTGTAGGTGTGACTTCTGAGCCCGACCGGCAAGCTTTCATCGATGCTGGCCTCAACAACTGCATTCAAAAGCCACTGAACCCTGGAAAGATCGTTGAATTCCTCACTGTTTCCAAAAAGCGAAGAAGGACCGATACATCACAAGCTTGAAAGTTTTTGGGTTTCCTTGGTCTCTGCTAGTTTTTTTTTTTTTTTCCCAAGGTCCTTTGATGTAGAGATGAACTCTATGAATAAAATTTTTGACTCGCTAGTTATTCTAAGAAGATAAATAAATAGTTGCGAGAACTAATAATCGCTGCGCTTCAAGCTGAATATTAAGGAAGTGTTGCTTGCATAGCTTGGTGAAAGGAATTGAGACCAGAAGTGGTACAAATTGTTAGAAATTCTTTCACGTTTTTTGTTCTGATGTTGATCATTCAGCTTCTTAATTGGTCATTACAAGCTTAGATTTAGCTCCTTAATTTGTTTTTACTGTATTTGATATGGATGAATGTGATGGGCTACAGATTACCGCATGCCTCCTGAGATTGGATTTTTCTCAGGTGCTTTGGTTGATCGAAACCACATTTTTCCTATATTCTGCTGTGCACCTCTGCTTTCATCTTCACTTTCTCAACAATCTCCACAGCTATAACTTCTCTGCTTTTCCTCTCTGGGGTCTAGTTTTGGCGACAATTGACCAAAGCAACATCTTAATGGTCGGCATGGTTTTACTTATTAATTCATGGGCATGCAATTTTTACATCTTAATGGTCGGTATGATTTGACATATAGCCTGATAACAATTTTGATTTCAAAAGAACTGTATTTTTGGATGATCTTGTTATGTGTTTAACTCATAATAATATATTGTAAATGTGTGTGTGTGAGGTGTTCTAATATGACAAAAAAAAATTAAAAAAAAAAGTAGAAGAAGGTAAATTTGTAGTTGTAATAAATGAAAGGTCATACTATGATTAAAGGATATGATTGTATCCTTTGGCATAATTTGGGTATCTTTGGCATAAGTCTCACTTAAAGGATATGATTAAAAACATTCTAAAAATTTAGAACAAAAATGTAAAATTACATGTAGTTTTGCCCCCACTGTCTGGGGCATGGCCTCCGTGCTTGTCCAATAGCATCTAAAATTACCATGGTTAGGCTAACTCGCGGGAGTTGGCCATGAAACTAACTTTCCCGCCAGTATTCTATTATATAAGGAGTGAAGCTAGAATTAACCACTACAACAGTCTATTCAGAACACCCGCCCATTTATCTCTCGCCTTGTGTCACCGTTTCTCCATCACCCACATGTCAACTTAACTAATTCCCTCTTAACAGGGATAACCGCTCTATAAAAGGCAACATTTCGGCTCTCCTCTCTCACACGCACATCAAGAACTCATTCCCTTTGTCTTTCTCACCCTCTCTGAGTCTCTCTCTCTCAGAATCAAGAAGCCACGAAACCATTAATTCCTCCATCAATGGCTGACGAAGGTAACACTCAAATTGATCGAGAAATTCAGAATCTTGTCAATAAACTGAATGAGCGCATTGCAAAGTTAGATCAAAAGAGAAAGGTTTTAGAGAATGCAAAGGGGTCAGAAATCAGAGCACTCAAGAAAGATCGAGATGAAGCCTGGAAACTAAAGTCCAGTCTTCTAAATGAATCTGGTGATACAAGACAGGAGATCGCTAATGTGAATAACTGGCTGGATCAGAAGACACTGCTCAGTGGTGACGACCAAGACGAGGGGTAAAACAGAAATCATTGTTCCTCTTAAATAATATGAACTATATCAGTGACCATAAATCATATGTTTGCCATCTTTTCTATGCTTGCAGCTATAATATCTCTGTGCTTATTGTTGATGATGACCTCACTGTTCGAGACACCAATCGGAGACTCATGATGAGAGTTGAGACACAAAAGCAGCTTACAATGGAATTTCAAGAGGCAAAGAATGGGAAAGAAGCTGTTTATCTACATCTTGCTGGAGCTTCTTATGATCTCATTCTTATGAAAAATCATATGCCCATCATGACTGGAATTCAGGTATATGTTTTTTAACCAGCCTCAACTTATTAATGTTTTTTCTAAACCCCACCCCCATTCTTCGTTTTTTTTAATAAAATTGGAAGAAAGAAATATTCTTCTTTATTTTCTTGATAACTCGTAATATAATGATAAATTTTTACGAACTTCTGCTTAAGAACCACTAACTTAATTGGTAGAGTGAAAAGGAAACTTGATCTTTGTGAAATACATCGGAACTCAATGAAATTCAAAGTTGATCCATCATGATTCTGAGGCTATTTTGGTTTTATCTTGAAGCATAAAATTGTAAATTTTGCTTCCTGTCTAAAAGCTTCAAGTGCTAATTAATGTCGTGATATACATTATATATGATATTTACTTCTGATCCTGATGATATAAATGTCCGTGTCAGGCAACACAGCGTTTACGCAAGATGGGTGTTAAGAGTCAGATTGTTGGTGTCTCTTCTGAGTCTGACCAACAAGCTTTCATTGACGCTGGCCTCGACAACTGCATTCAGAAGCCACTGGATATTGCAAAGATCACTACATTCCTCTCTGATCCCAACAAGCGAAAAAGGAATGATACATCACAAGCTTGAGAGTTTCTGGGTCTCCTGGGCCTGTGTTAGTTTTTTTTTTTTTTTTACAAGGTCCTTAATTTGATGTAGATATGAAGTCTATAAATGAAGTTTCTGACTAGCTAGTTTTTCTAAGAAGATAAATACATAGTTGTAAGAACTTATAATCCAAAGCTGAACAAGGAAGTGTTGCTTGCATTAGCTTAATAAATGGAATGGAGGCCAGAAGTGGTCGGAATTGTTAGTGCTTGTTTTCAAGTTTTTGTTCTGGTGTTAAGCATTCAGCTAATTCTTAATGGGTCATTACATGCTTAGATTTAGGTGTTGCAAAATGAATCGCTTCCGCAATGGCTTTCAGTAATGATTACCATGTACGGAGCTGACCCTTCACATAAAGTGCTTATTTATGTTCTTCAGCTTCATTGATGATCTGATTATGCTCTACGTACTTCTCTCAATTCTCCTTTCCCACTAGATCAAGGCATTTTTCCTGCACCAAACGTAAAGTGTTTATCAACATGCATGCCTAAGTAGAATATATATATATATATATATATATATATATATATATATATATTATTTTTATTTTTATTTTTATTTATTTCTAAATTATAACAATTAACTGAGAAAACAACAATATTTTTCCTTTAAGTTTAACCACATGATCATGCAAGGCAAAAAATCTCTCAAGCATAACTTGCGGAAATAAATAAATATATTTTTAGATATGCCTCGAGAATTCTATATTCAGTATACACCCTCCTTTATTTAATGGTTTTCTACCAAGAATCACCCGCATTGTGACCAGTCACAACTTCTTGACAGAAATAACAGCTATTGAAAACCATAAATTTAGAACTTCTCTTTCACAGAACACTCATTCAGCTGTTGAGACAGAAAAAAGATTACTAGAATTTCTAAATCAAAGGGATTTGTGTTTAGAGAATCCTTGAGTTTTTTGAATCATGGTTAGAACTAGTGTTTAGAATCCTGGTTGGTTTGATCTCATCTTTATTACAATGATTGCCTTTCTGCAGACCACCATACGTCCAGAATGTAGGTGTCGCTTTGAGAATAGCTGCGCCTCCTTGGTCTGTGTAGTTTTTTTTTTTTTTTCAAGGTCCTTTAATGTAGAGATTAACTCTATGGATAAAGTCTGACTAGCTAGTTATTCTAAAAGTCTCTATTGCTAGCAATATTGGTATACATTGTTAGTACTTCTTTGATCTTTTTGTTCTGATGTCGATCATTCAGCTTCTTAATTGGTCATTACAAGATTAGATTTAGCTTCTTAATTTGTTTTTACTGTATTTGATATGGATGAATGTGATGGGCTACAGATTACTGCATGCCTCTTGAAATTGAATTTTTCTCAGGTGCTTTGGTTGATTGAAACCACATTTGTTCTATGTTCTGCTGTGCACTTAAAAGGTGACTGATTTACTTTGCATATTTTGGCTACTTTTCTCTTGAGCAACTAATGTTCCTAAATGATTCACTGTTGCTATTACATGAATTATAACAACAGTAAACGGAGTTCATTTCCATTTGGCGTTGTAAGTAGCGAGCAAAAAGTTTGCTGCTTCATTGCCATCATCGGTTTGTGCTCTCTTCATTTTCACTTTCTCAACAATCTCCACAGTTATAACTTCTCTGCTTCCTCTTTGGGGTCTTAGTTTTGGAGAAAATTGACCAAAACAACATCTTAATGCTAATTTGCTTTAGGAGGAGGAGCTAGGGCTATGTAACACATATTTTTTAGTAGCCTAAGAAGAAAACTGAGTTCATACTTCATAGACTTCATAATCCCATATAAATTAACCTATGTCTATTCAAGCTTGACAGAATAAAGGAAAATCAACCTAATAGTACCATATATTTTAATTTTTTATTATTAGAAATAAATGAAAATCAACCTAATATCCTGGAAAATCAGCTGTTGCAGCTTTTGTTATTTACCATCTACTTGAACAGGTTCGCAGAGCAATGATCCCTGCAGTTCTATCTTTCTTGATATAGACTAGTACTACTCCAGTTGTTACAGTGACATACTAGACATTCGAAGTTGACTGGGGCTCAGGATATCAACGTAACAGCACACAAGGCATGCCAATTTATGTTTTTGACTTAAACTAAACAAAAGAATTTAATTGGAAGAAAAAAATTGGAAGATGTAATTTTATTAAAAAAATTATTTGATATTATTATTAAATCAAACCCAACATGTTATTCTCATTTGAATTTCGATTTTATGACCAGAAATGTAGGAATAGACTAGGGCTCAGGATATCAACGAGATTGGCCAGGATTGAGTAACAACACACAAGGCATGTCAATTTATGTTTTTGAGTTAAACTAAAGAAAAGCCTTGCAGAAGCAAGCAAGACACATTAACAAGTAAAGTAGTAGAAACTTTCAATCAAATATTAACTTATTAATAAAAGTTAAGAACCTTAAATAATATTAAAATTGAATGATGAGTTCAATCAACTCAATAAAAAATTAACATTTAATATATATTTTTTCTATTTATAAGTATAAAGACTGAAACAGATGTATATACGCACACATGTACGTTAAACATAATAGCATTTTCTAATGAAATACATGTTAGATATCAAACAAAGTCATAGGCTTAGATAACAAACGAAACCCTAAAGTTCTGATAATAGACGAGGTTTGTAGCCCCGGTCACTGTAAGAGGACCAGTCGTTACAAGCTAATGTCTCTCTCATTATCGAAATATAGAGAATATTATATGCATGTAGACTTGCTACTCCCCATTAGCATGAAGCTACTAACAAGTATATCGATATCAAAACATAATAAATATTCGCATGGTTATCAAAGCAAATGAATGTCATATCGAATAGAATTCAATTCAACAAAATATGAGTGCAAAATCATGAATTGATAAGTACTCAAAAAATAAAATAGCATATATAGATATTTAAGAATTTATCAATTGTACTCATCGTATAATCAACATATATAAATATTTATATTATATGTATATTAAAGAATATCTCACTCACCTGAAAAAATGAGCAAAAAAACATATGTAGAACTGGAGATTACTAAGAATCGCTAGTAAAAATGTCAGCGAAACCTATAATGGCTATGAAAAAACACTAAAAAACAACTCAAAGCAAAATAACATAAAAAACTGAAATTGTAAGTTTAAAGACCAAAATGTAATTATAAGCCAAGCTAACTCACCCAATTGATCTAATTAACTCCTGTTATTAGTTCAACTGATCAACTGCCACTACAAGTCAGTTAGTTGATCGAGATTTCTAGAATTCTTATCTATCAATCTTTAATTCTACAAATCCTAAAAACAACAATTTGTTCAAAAACAACTCAAAGCAAAATAACATAAAAAACTGAAATTGTAAGTTTAAAGACCAAAATGTAATTATAAGCCAAGCTAACTCACCCAATTGATCTCGAACAATACCCTAAATTGACCGAACCTAACAAGCCTAATTAACTCCTGCTATTGGTTCAACTGATCAACTACCACTGCAAGTCAGTTAGTTGATCGAGATTTCTAGAATTCTTATCTATCAATCTTTAATTCTACAAATCCTAAAAACAACAATTTGTTCTTCAAAACCCAAAATTACAAACATCTAATTAGTGTGTTTAAGCCAACTAGCACCATGATACATCAATTAAAACTCTTAAATCTTTAAATTATTAAATCATAATAAAAACCTTATACTATTGTTTAATCCTTCGGCTATCAATTTCCTAATAAAAAATAATAAAAAAAGGAGTCTATTCAACTTTACTTAAAGCATAAAAGCTTAAGTTTAGATAAAGCTGAGTTCTTTGGTATATTAAAAGAAAAGTTACTACAAGGGTGGAAAAGAGACAAAGAGACAATCAATATCCTGGCAAAAAAATTTGTTTAAATGCATAGGTTATGTTGGGTTTTTAAGTTTAAGCTAGATTTGAGCTTGGGTTTGATGGGTCAAAACATAAATCTTATAGATCAACCTTAAAACCTTCCAACTCAATTTCTTATTTAGCTCAAATTTAAAATTAACTTGTATAAAAGTAGAATCTACATGATTCTTGACTTATTATGGCCAAAAGCAACTCGGATGATTAATAAAATTATGGTTTGACTTTAAAAAAAATCTCAAGATGATATTTTTTTTATAATATTGAGACAGCGAGATATTGAATTGACCCAAGTTTTATCAACTCACGACCTAGATCATGAATCCAATGGGCTTAAAAATCATTTTTTATTTAAAGATATGATAATAAAAATAAACACTCAAAAAAATTAAACATCAACCAAATAAAGTATGTTTGTTTGAAAATATAATAACTTCCTAGAAAAAAAATTTATAATAATCAATTCAAGATCAATAAAATATTAAAAAATAAAGCTAAAATAAATAAAATTAGAAGGTAATTTTTTGTAAAAAAATTATGAAAAAATTAAAAAAAAATGCTTCTTTATTCATATATCCAAGCTCTTTCAAGTGGAGAGAAGAATTGTATAAATAAGTAATGTTGAATGTTTATTTGAGGTTTGTTTTTCAGCCAATCCATAATTAACCTTCTTAATTCGTTTAGTTGAAGAAAATATAAGCTAAAAATACTTTGATTTTCTCATGGTTTGATCTCAAATTGAATTGTAATTGCAATTCTAATTCACTTTCTTGTTTTTAATTTAATTTTTAATTTACTTTTTTTGTGTTTTTTTAGCTAATCCATTAACACACACATGGTCGAACCCCGACCAACTTAATAGAGAATTCATGGCGTTTGCTAACTATGCTGACCCATATATTTATCTTATAAAAAATGTCTTAAATAATTAAAAATATTCAGTATTTAATTTTAATAAAACCCCTGCATTTGTTTGACAAGTTTTTGAAATTGGTGATTTCATTTCACTAAAATATCAAGAATGGTCGATCTAAATTTTTTTTTTATGGGGGTTTCGAGGTCTTTTTAAGAAAGATTGTGATTGTAAATTGTAATCCTAAAAACAAAGAATATTAGGATCAAAAGCAGCTCTCATTTCATTAAGACGTTGAAGAACTTGTAAGAATATTATTATGGATATGGTCTTTTAAATTAGAAATGATATAATCATAAATTTTAATAATTTTTTAACTGTAATAGTAGTAAAATTGTAATTTTTGGTTTTTTTATATTTTTTTTCTTTATACTAGGCATATTTATCACTATTTTTTTCTTATCTTATTTTTATATATATTTTCCTTTTCCTTTTCTTTTCATTACATTTTTTTTGGAAAGAAATATTATTTTTTATTCTTTACCCTTGAAATATTTATAACTCTACATTTGGTCTACTTATACTATTCTTTTTGTTTTTATCCTTGTTATTTTCTAATTTTTTTCAAGTTTTGTTTTTTATTCTTTGTAATTTCTTTTTTTAAATTTTATACAAAGACTAAAAAAGTTGTGTTTTATTATAGCAATTTTAACATTATTCTATTTTTCTACTAAGTCAAGAGTTAGCTTGAAATCTTGTTTATCTTTATTAACATATATAATTTTCACTATATTTATTATATTTTAGTACATAGTGTTAATAATTTCACGGACTAAAGTCATTTCTGTTGGCTGAAAATATGTTTTGTTTCATTTCGAAGCTTGGAACAATCGTTTAACACAAACAAAATATGGCAAAATGAAGACTTTTTTAACGAATAAAGAGAAGAAGTTTGGCCAGTGTTTGCATGCCTTCATGTAAATTGTCTAATCGAAATTACCAAGAGAAAATTGTCTAAACGACAGAAGATAACTTCGTCAACTTTGGCCAGCCAAAGATGTTAAGATTACAGATACTACCGCCCATCTTCAGTCATTAGACTTTGTCCGTGAACTTGAAGATGTGGGTTTTGTCTTAAAAAAGAGGGAGAAAATAAGGGACATCCTTGGATTTTATAAGCCTAAACTACCTTGACTTCTTGACAGAAACGAGATTCATCATCACCAGCCAAATTGCAAGGAAGGTTTAAATGGTGCTGCTACATTACGAGTTACGACAGCTTCCTGCAAATGGATCTGAATGTAATGAAATTATTGCCTGATACAAACACAGAAAGACGACAAAACCAATATTGTAGCATAATTATAAAGGCTACACATGCGTACAATAAAGGTTCCGTGCCCCTTCCAAATTATAATAACATTTGCTGACAAGGAATTATATCAAGGAAGTAGTTCCTTGTTATGTAATCCAGCTATGGAACAGGGTAAAGAAGGGGGGCAAAGGTGTCTGAAATCATGTCCAATCAATCTTTACACCAGAGATGCACAAATCAGCCCTCTCAACAAAGATTCTATATTGCAACTCTCTTTATAATCCTCCTCTCTCTCTCTGCTTTCCTTCTCCACTCACATACTGCATGCCCTCTGGCCTTGTGCCAGGAAAAGCAAAACAGCGTGAGAAGAAATAAAAAGATCAGATGTCCGTTTCCATCTGTAAGCAAACAGTGAATATGATGCCCACATACACACAAATAGTCAAAAGTTAAAGAACAAACATGTACTACGTCTTTTTACCCATTCACACCAATTCACCACCACAACACTATAATGAGTGCTGAGAAAAAAAAGCAAAAGAAAAACGAGTCTAAGTGGTGGGTGAGGCAATGACCATGATTGTGCCTGTGCTTCTATATCCAACCATGTCTTCCCGATTTCCTGCATACCCCAACGCGCATAACCCCACTTCCAAAAACCAAAATATGGCCATATCCCCACTTTCTTAGATGCAAAGCAATAAACCATAATCATTTAGTGATAACCACCTTATATATTAACATTATTATATACAGGCTCTCTCCTTTTGTTTCTTTTTTTGTTCTGATACCTGTCCATTACTGATAACAGACACAGCTAAAAGGGTGGATATGCATGCTATATCAATACATAAGGAGAACACATACAGCGAGATATATCAAGTTTAACCTCATTGACTGTACTCCTGGCGGCCTCGGGGCAGAACAGGTGCACTTCTTTGGTGTGCTCTTGCTATGTACCTTCAAGAAACTTTATCAACAAAGGTGAAGAAAGCAACAAAACTGAGAGGGGATCCTTCGCAGAAAAGAAAGAATATGGGGTCATGGAAGAAGTCAGTACTTATGAATCAGTACAGGATCATCAAAAGAGCAATGGTGGAAGAAATAGTAGAAGCAGTAGTCTTAGTGGGTCTAATAATGGACCTCGCTTAGAAACTTCTACTCTCAAGAGTAATCTCAAGAAAACTGCTTCTACTACTACAATTGAGGAAAATCAAGCAGGGACAGATCATCAAAAGAGGAAAGTAAGTTGGCCTGATATTGCATATGGCACAGATATTGCTCATGTTCTTGAATTTGAACCGAGGTAAACTTAACCATCCCCTGCTTACCATACTTAGTTTTCATGAATATTGGATTTTGATTGTGTCTGATGATGAATCCCCACAAGCCACGCCATGTTTTTTGATAAGCAAATTATTTCCAATATTATCTTCAACAGTAATAAGGCTGTTTTATCCCTAACTTTAAAAGAGTGTTTAGGCTTAGGCACTATTATGATATGTAGGGCATGGCTGCATGAACAATTTCTAGAAAATGAAGTAATGATGGTTTGTTTTCTCCATTTACAATCTATTCATATAGGCTACATCTTTTAAGGTTCAGGCAGCTATTTTATTTGCTTTTCTGTTGCACTTCCACTATATTTTACTTTCTCTTTCATAATATCACAGCATCTCTGATGATGGAGAACTTGAAGGAGCAAGGAATTCTTGTGTTTGTACAATTCAATGAACAAGAAATCCTGGCATAGGTATGACACTTTAATTGTTCTTTACTGATTTAAGCAATATTTCAGAATCATATATGTAAACTGGCAAGGCATATTTATATTCCTTGTTTTTCCTTCCCTTCAAAAAATCACTAAATATACTTATGATTAGCACAAAAACCAATCAGGTGCATGTCTTTTATGAGTATAATATTGAAATGTGGAAGATGCCTCGAAATATAATCAAATGCAATGCCTTCTGTGAGTCAACAATGCATCTGACCATGAAATGCAAAATGACCGTTGAAGACTTCCAAGTTTCAATGGCAAACGGCACTTGATACAATTGAGATTATACTAAACACTTACCGTATGCTACGATGGTTAACAGCAGCCCCAGCTAGCATCTTTTTTTCTTTTTCTTTCAAATACATAGCATCTCATTGACAGGATGAAATGAACCCTACTTGGATAATATAATTCGATCTAGTTCAGAACCAGAGTTAGAATTCTTAACGATTGTGTGAAGCTGTTGAACTTGCATCATTTGTGTGTGTGTGTGTTGAGGCAAAGGAAAGCTTTCTGGCCTTTTATGACTTCTACTCTTAGAATTCTTAGGTGTTTGGACAACATGGGTAGTAAAAATAAAAACAGGAAGGCCACCAAAAGGCAGGGGCCCTACCTAGCAAAGCATATGTAGGTGCCTGATCATGACGACATGAGTTTGATTCCTTTAGCCATCATATGAAGGTAATTTTGTATTTGGGTAATGCACACAAACTTCGATTGAGATTTTTGTTTCAAAGAAGAGGCCTGAATCCAAAACCAATCAGAGAATTGAGAACATGGGTGCCTGCTGAAATTTTCTATATATGTTTTTAGAGCAGGTTGCATGTATCTATGGTGAGTCCATGAGGGTCTGCCTTCAGACAACCAAAAAACAACGTATCAGAAGTAGCTAATGATCTCTGTGAGGTTCTGGGGATAAATAAAAATCTGAAGGCATGTACACATCAGGAAGAAATATGGCTTCACATCAATCTGTCCTAGGATCAGTTATGACAGTTGTATTGTCAACATGAACAAAATACAACGAATGCATGCTCATAAGAATCAATGTATACACGGAATTAGAACTGTCCCTTTCAGGACGAAGTCCTATCATTTTTAGAAATCCAAAACACTTCCATAAGGAAATTTAAAACACTTGATAACGCCGTATAAAATAATCTGCCTCTTGTTCTTGGAGAACAGTCTTTCTTTTTGAAAAAAGTCCCACTCAGTTTTCTAACAGTTACAATCTTCTCTTCTTGCAGATGGATCTCCTGGTGATGCAATTCTTCAAGAGCATTTCACAGTATTCACATTCTTGTATTTATTAACATAGAATAAGTCCTCTAGAACATTGAAGATAGAAAACGTGTAGAAAACAAAAGGGCTGTGAAAATTTTCGAGGATTCTTTTATTTAATGCTTGCCCATGTTGCACGACTATCGAACCTTGTGAATAGATTTCTAACAAATCCAAGACCAATCGAAACCTTTAACGTCCCTTTTATCATTCTCTGGAAAAATCTGCCCTCCTTCTAGAGCCACCAATGATTCCTTTCTTGGTATGTGGTGAAAACTCATAGCGAAGAAGACACCACTAACTGGGCTTGCAGTGTGAAAGCATGGTGGGAGTTTAGGTTTGTGTGGCAGGTAATCGTGGGAGTCGAGGGTGACATTGAAGATCGAAGACTTTGGACTAAAAAGAAAAAAAAAATTGATTCAGAAACCTCTCTTCAGTTTTAAATGAAATGAAAGATGGCACTCGATGTACTCGTCGGCTATAAAGGTAACTTGCTGGTTTTGTCAGTAAGGAGTTAACAAATCAATCACATAGAGAAGGTAGTGAAACAAATTAATCTAAAATGAAGTTAAAACATGTTACAGGCCAAGCAATTGTTGTAAGAAAGAATCACAATATTTCTTCCTTTCCAACCCCCATAATGATGCACCAAATTTTCTCCCGACTAGGAGGGTGCTTTTTTTTTCCTCGCATTGTCACAATACCGTGGTCTTATAAGACACTATTCCCTATTTGACATTGTCAACGCAAGTCCCTAATGACCATGATTTTTTGCTTTCTTTGATTTGTTCTTCTCCTGCATCTTCTTTTTCTTCGCTTCAGCTGTAACCCAGGTATACTCTGAAGGAATAGCAAATGGGTCCTGAATGTTTTCTATCCTACTGCTAGAGCCACCAGAAGAGGAGCCAGGGCGTTGGTAAGGGGCTTTTATCCACTGAAACCAAGATGATGTTGAGGACTGCGTGACCAATGGACTTTCCCGTCCCGCAGCCGTAGGACTTGAAGGCGGTGTTGAGAATTCATCCAGTGGCTGTAGTTCTTCAAACTTTGTAAATGTAACCAGTACCCTGATGGTGGGAACTACTGGAATGGCAACCTGGATGTAAACAAGAAGTACTCAGAAAACGTACTCAGAGATTGACAAAACAATAGGACCAAAGATAGGGAAAAAAAAAAAATTCAAGCTGCAGCACAAGAAGTGGCAGCATTATCATCCAGTTCTTTTTTTAATGAATTCCAGTCAGTAAAGTAATTTGGTGGAATTGGGCCCTCCTCACCTCTCCCTTCCCCTTTTTTGAAGTGATTTTCTCCAATATCTTACAAAAGAATGTTATCGAGGTGCTTCAAAACTCTACCTTGGTGCAAGGGACTACTGCCAACAAAATATCCTCCAAATCACAATTGTTAAAACTTGACCCAGATGCCAAACTAGTCAACTGGATTTATAGGATCCAGAATAATTTATATGCGTAACAATCAGATATTTATGTGCGGTTTTTAAACATTTTATCTAGCATGGCCTGACACCTGACAGTAAGTGTTAGATGCTCTCTTACCACAAGGCCAGGTTAAAATCCTATTCTGTCATATCTTGGTCAAATGGTATTTCTAAAAATGGAGCTGCGCAGGAAACTTCTCAAATTCAAATGAAATTCAGCAGACTAGAGTTACGTTTCAAGTTTCAGTCAAGTTTGACTCCTAGATGATCCTATCAGAAACCTAGACTTGCCAAGTGTCTGGTTAACTAGATTTCTGGTTTCACCAGCCAGACAAGGCTGGATGGATGGATCTAATAACTATGCTTCTACCTTGCATCCGAAAACAAGTGGCATGTGGCTGGGACCAGGAATAAGGAGACTAAGCAAGCCATGGATATTTGCAAAACTCAAACATGATGATGATGATGATGATGAAACACTGCCTTTTGACTCACTGAAAACTTATCCCGGGACTAAACAGAGAGAATTCTTGAGATTTATCATTTAAGGTAAAATCATCTTCTTCTTTCATTCTTCTTCGGGAAGTATTAATTGGTATAATGATGAGCATTTTGCATATCAATACAGAACTTACCTGATTTCACCAGAGCAAATCCTTCACCAACTTCAGCCAAAACCACATAAGTATTAGTTGAAGTTATGGGGTCCAATAAATTCCACATTATTGTGTTTTTCACAATACAGAGGATATGATCTATAAAGCGTATCATGCCAACTAGCCTCCCACGAAGGACCAAGCCAACTTATCAGCAGATCAATCAAAGGCTAATGAAGAGAGTCTCATGTGGCAACTATTTGGGGTATAGGGACATCAATCCGACAGTCGATTCAGCAAGGAAAACATGACACATTAGAGTGCTATATTAACTCCATATATGATATTGTACACCACATGTTGCCACAGGTCATAACTGAGGGTAACTAAAGTGGAATGAGCTATGCTATTCCTTGATTTTGGAACTCCAACCAATAATATCAGCTCCATAACTTAAAGGTAAAGTTTCTTATAATGATATTATGGTGATTGCCAATACTACAAGGACAGACATGTAAAAAATGACAGTATATACATCCATGTGCATGCATGCTCACGTACACTAACATGCTAAACATACATGCATTTCTGTAAATTTAAACATGCATACTTTTCTAAGCTCAAGACTGAAGATTGATGCTTCTTACTAATTCTAAGAATCCTCTGAGGCAGAACAACATTGTTTATCCTCATGCAACAATTCCATAATAGTGATATCCAACTAGGTTGTTGCTCCCTCACTTTCATATTTCTGATTAGGTTCTATTCCACTTGACTTTTATATCATTGCAACAATTTGCACTAGAAACTAACCCGTTACAAGTATGGTTTTCAACTCACTGGCATTTGAGGTGGAATATATGGTTATGTAATCCAGATCCATAACTAGCCATAAAACTGGAAAACCTAAAAATTTACTGAAGTTTGTTTCCTCATGTTCTCATTGGTATCCAATAAAGAAAACTATTTTAGATTCTCTCAGCCAATTCTTTTTCTTTTCTTTTTCAAGATATTTACACTATACTGCCCCTGCGGGCATGTAATCATTACACACAATGTTGGCACTAATCTACATGAGGTAACAATAATAGAAATAATTCTTTTTTAAGAGACTACTACTACTACTCCAACAACATGGAAATCACCCGTTTTTTCTTTTAAGACAGGAAAAATAAAATATGCATTCCAGATATATAAGCAAAAGAGGCAAGTATGAAGATTTCAATGAAGTAAGAATCACTTTGATTCACCAAAAATCAAGAGATACAACATGATACTATACAAGTTCAACATTTGGAACATTAATAAAAACCTCCAAGCTCTCTTAAATATGCCGATAATGATGACTCAATGCATGAGCAGAGAAAACAGATGAAGGTACAGAGCATAGACTAGAGAAAACAACTAAAATCAAAGAGCCTCCATTACAGGGTCTTGGAATGATCAGCCTTTCAGCCAGGCCACAAAAGTTCTACAACTTCTATGACTAAACCCCTAGTCTCTGCTGGATCAGCAATTCCCTCTACCCAAAGGACAGAAAAATTACTGTGCACTCCAATATCATGATCACATGACCTTCCCTCAACAGACAAGTTTATCAATCAACTCTTAGTGGCTGATCAATCAACGCTTAGAGGCTGGAGATGCATTAGCCTCAAATTAGGTAAAGTTGCCTCAAACACCTAAGCCCAGACCTTAGTAAGACAAAACCCTCTTGCACTCTTAACACGAGCATGCACATAAAAAGTATTTATTCAATATGATTTACATCATCAAAAAGACTTTAAAGAGCACTCGATTTTTAGAAAGTTCTGGAGACACGAAAAAACCCTATCTTACCATGCAGATCATAGGGTTATTTGGTATAGAACAACAAGGCCATTATACAAGCAACCTTATCCAGAAAGCAGATAGATAATATGATTGCAAGGGCAGGGCAGCAGTGGATGATGACCTAATCAAACAGCAAGCAAAGATTTCTATAGTAAAACCCAGCTAGATAGAAGAAAAGGCATCATACCTTAACTGGAAAGGTTCCCATTGGAAGTTTAGTTGTCAGTAGCTCTCTTAAGCGACGAATTGCCTTAACCTTGTTTGCAAGAATGTCAAGCAGTGGAAGAAGTTCTTCAGTTTGCAAAGGGAAGTTTGGAGAGAGCCAAAGAGTAGGTCTTAATCCTTTCTTATATTCATTCTCACGGCTTCCTTCCTTGCGACGATTATTGCTCTCAGAACTCACAGAAGTAGATGCCTTGCTATCTCTCCCTTTCCGGTGCTCATCCCTCACAACAATCTCCACAGAATGTCTTCCTGGTTTAGGCTGACTTCCAGATGGAGAGTCCCCTAGCAAATCACTCACCTTCTCATCCACACAAAGAGAACTTCTTGGCGGAACAATTTTCTTATGCCCTTCAACTTTAGAATCTCGTTTCCTCCAACCACCAAACCACCCTTTCTTTTCCTGCTTAGTCTCTCCATTTATACAACCATTTGCATCTTCAATAGGAATCTCCCTGTGCTCATAACAACTATGACGATGTGCAATAATCACATCACCATTCTCGCCATTCTCAGAGTTCAGTTCCGACGCATCCAATTTAAGTGCATCTTCCAGTTGCCTTCTTTCTTCTACTGTCAAAATGTCATCGAGTTCCTCACTTTCTGTTTCATTTTCATTGGAAGATGAGAAGAACTCATCATCTGACATAGCCCCTGGGACCTTTCTAGATTTGATGCTAACAACCACATTGTGCATGTCATAGACCTTTGCCTTCCATGAACCCACCATTTCCATTTTCTCCTGCCGCCTCCAAGTCAGCTGTGGCAAAAGAACTGCTTGGGTCACATCAATCCCTGGCCTGAATATATTAGTCTGAGACATTGCAGCCACTTCTTGCCGAACCTCTTCGTCGGTTGCAGGAGAACCAGCACCATCCAAAGCATTCATCACCTCTTTATCCTTGTGTGTGATCATACAAAGCGATCCAGAAGGGACTTTCCCATCCTCAGATCCATCACCGAGGAAAAGAATACTCTGATCTGAACGCTGAATCCTGAAACCATCGAAACCAGCCATGGTCATATCTGCCCTCAAATTGGCACCCCTCTTCCAAATTTTGTAAGTATCTGAAGGAGCAATCCTCGAGATGAAGGGTATCACAGAACTCTCAAAATGGAATGTTATTTCCATGTAGAAGTCCCTCATCCTTCGCATTGTTCCCACCAGACGAGGCAACCTCCTACACCACTTTGCCCATGCCAACGGCTGGTAATGCCTGACAATAATCATCGCAATCCCTTCCTCTTTATTGCAGATGGCTTCTTGAAGAGCACTCCATCCCTGCTCGTTCTGCAGACTCCAATCTGCACCGGCAACCATTAGCATCTCAGTTGCAGTCTCATCACCCAATTTGACAGCCAAGTGAAGAGGAGTGTCACGGTTTGGTACATCACGCCTATCAATTGCAGCAGCAATTGCTTCAGCCTTCTCTTCCTCGGCCAATGAAATTGCCTCAGTCCGAATCTCAGCTGGATTGCATAGACGGGGAAGGCCAGCTACTATCTTCCTGAGAGTGGCATAATTTTTTGTTGCGATGGCCTTATGCACAGGACTGTGGGCATATTTTGAAATATCAATGCCCGCCATCCCTCAGGAATGTATTAAGATCAACGCAGGCCAAGAATATACACAAACTCAAAACTTCAATTCAATCATCCAACAATAGAACTCAATAGAAATCACTGATAAGCAATGCCCCAAATTAGAACCTACAAACAGAAAATAACACTATCAACTATTAGCAGTTATAAACAACTGAGCTTCTAACATATGAAATAGGTCCAGTTCATAATTATTCACCGAGAACAGAATATAATTAATATCTTTCAGACTTTCCCAGAACAGAATAGACCCAGCTCAGGTTACACCCAGATGGCACAAGAAAAACAACGGAAAAAGAATCAAACTTGCAGCAACTAACAAGAAGCAAAAGCAAAGAATCTATTAGTGGGCCCAAAGCACAAAAGAAGAAGATCCGAGAAGCCAAGAAAATCTCACCTTCTTCTAACTTCCTTCTTTCTTTGCTCTCTTCCACTCTCAAAGAAACCAAGATTCTCCAAAAGAAACTCTCAAGCCACCAAAACCCCACCTCTCTCTCTCTCTAGAGAGATCCTTGTGATCCAATCCAGATCAGACAAACCTAAAAACATGCATGTGGGGGTGTGTGAAGGGAAAAAAAAAAGTTTAAAAAGAACCCAAGAAAGATTTATACTTAATTTATAGTATTAGAAAGAGCACAAGTTGAGGAATCTGGCAAAAGAAACGGATAAAAGACACAAGATTTAACAAGGGAATTCAAGAAAGTAACAAAACCCCATTATCCCACCAAACACCCCACGAAATAAAATACTGGGAATCAAAGAAAACCAAAAAAACCAAGACTATACTCTGTAACTTATATATTGCACACAAGAGAGAGGGCAGAATCAATATACAATGACTGCTACAAGTATTATTATTTTTGTTTTTTTTGTACGAGTATGAAACAGGGAAAGA